GTTCAAAGGCTCTAATTACTATAATTCAGCAAACTCCAAACACAGGTCTCCAGAGAAACGCTTTTTCTTTCAGCTCCTCTGACATGATTTCTATATTTAGTCCTGTCTCAACCAGCCCTACTCCGCTCTACTCTGCTCTACTCTACTCTACTCTACTCTACTCTACTCTACTCTACTCTACTCTACTCTACTCTATACTCTATACTCTATACTCTATACTCTACTCTACTCTACTCTACTCTACTCTACTCTACTCTACTCTACTCTACTCTACTCTATACTCTCTACTCTTCTCTACTCTACTCTACTCTACTCTACTCTACTCTACTCTACTCTACTCTATACTCTATACTCTATACTCTATACTCTACTCTACTCTACTCTACTCTACTCTATACTCTATACTCTATACTCTATACTCTACTCTACTCTACTCTACTCTACTCTACTCTATACTCTACTCTACTCTACTCTACTCTACTCTACTCTACTCTACTCTACTATACTCTATACTCTCTACTCTACTCTACTCTACTCTACTCTACTCTACTCTACTCTACTCTACTCTATACTCTCTACTCTACTCTACTCTACTCTACTCTACTCTACTCTACTCTACTCTATACTCTATACTCTACTCTACTCTAATTGGGAGTGTCTCTTCTGGGTCCTGTGTAACCAGTTCCAGGTCCTTCTTTAGTCCCTCTTGGTCCTGGTTCTATCCAGGCCGAGGTTTGTTGTGGTTAGGGGAGGGGAGGGTAGAGGAGAGGAGAGGAGGGGTGAGGAGGGGTGAGGAGGGGAGAGGAGGGGTGAGGAGGGGAGGGGAGGGGAGAGGAGGGGAGGGGAGAGGAGGGGAGAGGAGAGGAGAGGAGGGTAGAGGAGGGGAGAGGAGGGGAGAGGAGAGGAGAGGAGGGTAGAGGAGGGGAGGGGAGGGGAGGGTAGAGGAGAGGAGAGGAGGGGTGAGGAGGGGTGAGGAGGGGAGAGGAGGGGTGAGGTGGGGAGGGGAGGGGAGAGGAGGGGAGGGGAGAGGAGGGTAGAGGAGGGGAGAGGAGGGGAGAGGAGAGGAGGGTAGAGGAGGGGAGAGGAGGGGAGGGGAGAGGAGAGGAGGGGAGAGGAGGGGAGAGGAGGGGAGGGGAGAGGAGAGGAGGGGAGAGGAGGGGAGGGGAGGGTAGAGGAGGGGAGAGGAGGGGAGAGGAGGGGAGGGGAGAGGAGAGGAGGGGAGAGGAGGGGAGGGGAGGGGAGGGTAGAGGAGGGGAGAGGAGGGGAGGGGAGGGGAGGGTAGAGGAGGGTAGAGGAGGGGAGGGGAGAGGAGAGGAGAGGAGAGGAGGGGGGGGAGGGGAGGGTAGAGGAGGGGAGAGGAGGGGGGAGGGGAGAGGAGAGGAGAGGAGGGGAGGGGAGAGGAGAGGAGGGGAGAGGAGGGGAGGGGTGAGGAGAGGGGGGAGAGGAGGGGAGGGGAGGGGAGGGTAGAGGAGGGGAGAGGAGGGGGGGGGGAGAGGAGAGGAGAGGAGGGGAGGGGAGGGGAGGGTAGAGGAGGGGAGGGGAGGGGAGGGTAGAGGAGAGGAGAGGAGAGGAGAGGAGAGGGGGGAGGAGAGAAGAGAGAGAAGAGGAGAGGAGAGGAGAGGAGAGGAGAGAGGGTAAGTAAGTTAGTAAGTTTTTTTATTTATATACCGCCTTTTCACTGCAGATCTGAGTCTCAAAGCGGTTTACAATTGTTAATTTTGGGCATTTGTCTCTCACTCCACACAGAGATGGGAGCGGGGCCAGTACAGGAGGCACATGCCAGAACTATTGTACATATTTTTAGTGGTAGGGGAAACCGGAGTACCCGGAGGAAACCTACGCAGACACGGGGAGAACATGCAAACTACACTCAGAAAGGCCCTGGTCCGACCAAGAGAGGGGAGGGGAGGAGAGGAGAGGGGAGGGGAGGAGAGGAGAGGCGAGAGAGAAGAGGAGAGGAGAGGAGAGGAGAGAGGGGAGGAGAGGAGAGGAGAGAGAGAAGAGGAGAGGAGAGGAGAGGAGAGAGGGGAAGAGAGGAGAGGAGAGGAGAGAGAGAAGAGGAGAGGAGAGGAGAGAGAGAAGAGGAGAGGAGAGGAGAGGAGAGAGGGGAGGAGAGGAGAGGAGAGGAGAGAGAGAAGAGGAGAGGAGAGGAGAGGAGAGAGGGGAGGAGAGAGGGGAGGAGAGAAGAGGAGAGGAGAGAGAGAAGAGGAGAGGAGAGGAGAGAGGGGAGGAGAGAGGGGAGGAGAGAGAGGGGAGGAGAGGAGAGGAGAGGAGAGAGAGAAGAGGAGAGGAGAGGAGAGGAGAGGAGAGAGGGGAGGAGAGAGGGGAGGAGAGAAGAGGAGAGGAGAGAGAGAAGAGGAGAGGAGAGGAGAGAGGGGAGGAGAGAGGGGAGGAGAGAGAGGAGAGGAGAGGAAAGCGGGGCGAGGGGAGAGGAGAGGAGAGGAGAGGAGAGGAGAGGGGGAGAGGAGGGGAGAGGAGGGGAGAGTAGAGGAGAGGAGAG